CTCACACACGCACGCACACACACACACACACACACACACGCACACTCACTCACTCAATCCCTCACTCACTCACACACTCGCTCACTCGCTCACTCACTCACTCACACACACACACACACACTCACTCACTCACACACGCACGCACACACACACGCACACACACACACACTCTGTTTATTTAATTCTAACAAATAAGTTCTTGTTAAAAACTAACCAAAATTAAAAAATAACGTGTTTATAATTTCCACACAGGAGAGACTTGGTGTTGTTTCCAAATAAAAGGAAATATATCGGTATCGGTATCGGCAAAATGAGTTGAAAAATATCGGCATATCGGATATCGGCAAAAAAAATATTGTGCATCCCTAATATTATATACTAAATATCAGATATATATTGCATATTTATCAAATTTACTGCATATTAAATGTCGGTCACACTTTATTTTAAGGTCCAATTATCGCCATTAACAAACCATTAACTACGACTTTTGCCTCAAACTCCTAATTTGCTGCTTATTAATAGTTAGTAATGTAGTTGTTAAGTTTAGGTTTTGGGTAGGATTAGGGATGTAGAATATGCTCATACAGAATATGTGCTTTATAAGTACTAATAAACGGCTAGTATGGTTATAATAGGCATGCTAACAAGCAACTAGTTAACAGTGAGAATTGTTCCCTATACTATAGTGTTGCCTAAATGTCAGATGTATTATATATTGAATGTATGTCATATATACTATATTATGCAATGTATAACAAATACAATTCATAGCAGTAAATTCCCATATATTAAATTCACTTGATTTTTGGGAATACAATTATATTTACACAGATGAAGACAGGACTGAAGACAGATCTGTTGAGTGTAATATAGTGATGTAGTTTTGAATGCTTGATGAACTGATGAACTGAGACTGTGTGAAGGTTTAATGACTGGTTTCTTCTGCGGTTTCAGGCCAGAAGCGCGGTGGATCTGGAAGGGCTTCAGGCCAACAGCAGCTACAGTGTGGAGGTCCAGGCCGTCTCATACTGGGGTCAGATCCGACTGAAGAGCAGCAAAGCCTCCGTCCAGTTCAACACACAACTCCACAACCAGACAAGTGCGGACAAACTCACCGACAGCAACATCTGTGCTGACTTCATTCAGTGTTACTGGCCTTTTCTTTGTAATTATTTGAGAAAATCACTAGTAGTTTCTGAGTGTACAGTACTTGTTTAAGTTTGGAGACATGGTTTTTGAAAGAGTCTCTTCTGCTCACAAAGGCTGCATTTATTTGATCAAAAATACTGTAAAAATTGTGAAATATTTTTATAATGTAAAACAGCTGTTTTCAATATGAATATCTGTTAAAGTGTAATGTATTTCTGTGATGCGCAGCTGTATTTTCAGCATCATTACTCCAGTCTTCAGTGTCACATGATCTTCAGAAATCAGTATAATATGCTGATTGTATGCTGATGTTATTCCCAATTATTAGCAATTTTTATATCGGTGCTCTTATTATCATAAATGCTGACGATTTTGCAGCCTGATATTTTTTGTGGGAACTGTAAAAGTTTATTTTTTTTTCCAGGATTCTTTGATAAATAGAAAGTATTAAAAAAAACAGCATTTGTGAAATATTGTGTAACATTATACATGTCTTTACTGTCACTGTTAAACACTTTAATGCACCCTTACTGAATAAAATTATTAATTGTGCTTTTTGTGTCTTGTTTGTGTTTGTGTATCACGGTTTAACACAAAAATATTCATCAGCACCACTGTTTTCAACATTGATAATAATCAGAAATGTTTCTCGAGCAGCAGATCAGCATATTATACTGATTTCTGAAGATCATGTGACACTGAAGACTGGAGGAATGATGCTGAAAATACAGCTGCGCATCACAGAAATACATTACAGCTTAACAGAGATTCACATAGAAAACAGCTGTTTTAAATTGTAATAATATTTCACAATTTTACTGCATTTCTGGTCAAATAAATGCAGCCTCGGTGAGCAGAAGAGACTTTTTTTTCAAAAACATAAAAAATCGGACTTATTTCAAACTCTGTGACAACATACCCCTGCTGTTGTTCAGTGTTCTAGAAAGGTTCTGAATGTTTATTGGGCTCATCATATGTACGTTCTTCACTTATAGATTCACAGCTCTTAAGAACAAGTAGCCATTCGTTCATTTCTCAATGGCTGGTAAGGGCCCTGAATCAATCCATATATTTAATTCATGACATTACTAGCACAGCGATAACAAACAGTGCTCTACATTGATGCATGGCTCGGTTTATTTGTCCTGTAGAAAACAACTTTCCTCCTATGCCTGGCTTTATTCCTCTGAGGCCGTGCTTCCACCAGGACTTTGAGGAGATTCCTGACCAGCACCGCACCATGTGCAAGAGACTCTACCATCTGTGGATCTGTGAGTCTGGAAAACACACCAAACCAACCTGCAAATAACACTGAGGTCTAATGCACAGGGATTCTGTTGGGAAAATGTCCACTCATTTTCTGTCTCAGACACCTAGTGGTGTAAGCTGTGATCGCATGGAGTCATGGAATAATGTTTTAAAATCATTGTTAAAAAAACTAAATGTATATATGATCAGTAAATGTCATTCAGTTTTGTATATTTTTACATATATTCAAGTATTTTTGCCTGAAAGCCAATCAAAAACCAGTAAGAACTGGTAATAATATCTTGCATATCTTAAAAAATGTGCAAATATTACTAAATAATATTATATTGCTTATTATTGAAATTAAGTGTGCGTAATTGTATTGGATGCGCACTTGTAGTGTATTTAAAATATTAAAGTATATATATATACTTTTTTTTTTAAACTGCTTGCAGATCATATAATATTAATTAAATAATGAAATGAAATAAAAAGCCACTTAAGTGACTTAAAGAAACTTTCATGACTGTTTCTCTAAATACACTTAAAAAAGTAAAGGTTTAATGTACTAAATTGCAACTTCATCATGACAAACATGTAATTACAAATTATTGTAATTATTAAGTATTTGTATATTTTTACGTATTTTTTGACGTACAGTATATCTTGCACATAACTGATAAGACTAACTTTAGTAGTGATTCACACTCATTTGTTCACTGCACTAATTAAATCAAAAAAGTGTTGTTTTGTTCTGAGGGATTTCAAATATGATGGGATCCAGTATTCAATAAAGCTGAGAAACTCTGGTCTAATACAGACAAACTGCTGCGCATGACGGCGTATCAGACTGTTTATACATTAATGATTGTCGTCTCTTGCTGTAGATCCTACCTGTAGCCGATCCCGCCAAAGGTATCCTCTACGTGTTGCTTTTTAGTGAAATGGCATGCATGTATATATATATATATTATTATTTTTGTGTGTGATTTCATCGAGTAGACTGCATCTCCCAGTTGTGTGTGTGACCTTTCATCTGTCAGATGTATTTATTGTCTAAACTGTATGTCAGCCTGCATTCATAAGTTCAGCTGCTGCAGGTCCTCAGGTTACTGAAGCGTTTACTCGGTTGGCTAACGATGCTTTTGGGAAACGCAGCCCTGGTGGGTTTGTAACGGTTTGTAACATCTGTTGTGTTTCCAGTGTACGGCGTGACGCTGCTGGTGAATTTCTTGGGCTGTATGGCGTGGATGTTTGGAGGAGGAGGAGTGACTAACTTCGGCATGTCAGTCATCTGGGTTATTCTCTTCACCCCCTGCTCGTACGTGTGCTGGTTCAGACCCATTTACAACGCCTTCAAGTGAGCACCAGTCTACTCGTTTATTTTCAGATTATTTTTACAGATTTTATATACTGATTGTTTATATATATATATATATATGTGACCCTGCAGCACAAAAGCAGTGTTAAGTCGCTGGGGGATATTTGTAGCAATAGCCAACAATACATTGTATGGGTCACAATTATACATTTCTCTTTTATGCCAAAAATCATTAGGATATTAAGTAAAGATCATGTTCCATGAAGATATTTAGTAAATCCCCTACCGTAAATATATCAAAACTTAATGTTTGATTAGTAATATGCATTGCTAAGAACTTCATTTGAACAACTTTAAAGATGATTTTCTCAATATTTAGATTTTTTTGCACCCTCAGATTCCAGATTTTCAGATAGTTGCATCTCAGCCAAATATTGTCCGATCCTAACAAACCATACATCAATGGAAAGATTATGAATTCAGATGTATGTATAAATCTCAATTTCGAAAAATTATTTTATGAAAAGTATTAATATTTGTTAATAATAACAGTAATAAGCATCATCATCACCATCATCATCATCATATGGTAAATGTATAATTAATACATTATTCTCCTTCCTAATAATAATAATAATAATAATTCTGACCCATTTACAATGCCTTCAAGTGAGAACCAGTCTACTAGTTTGTCAAATTGTTAAATTATTATTATTATAGTATTAATATAATTTAAAATATTTATATTTATCATAATGTATTATTATTATAATAGTATAATTATTATATATTATTATTGTTGTTGTTGTTGTTGTTATTGTTGTAATTATTATTATTAATATATTATATTTATTTTATTGTTTTGTTTTTTCAGGACCGACAGCTCATTCTACTTCATGGCGTTCTTCTTTGTGTTCATGGCACAACTTTTTATTGCTATAATTCAGGCCATTGGTATACCAGGATGGGGTGTTTGGTAAGATCATGCTATGATTTATTCTAAAAATAAAAAAACTTTAATTAATACTCGAATATCAGGATGCAACATACCATATTCTAGCATCAACAGCCAGAGATGTGTGCTATTATTCATTGTTCTCCATATCTTCTGGTCTCTGTGTTTCAGCGGCTGGTTGGGCACCATCTCCTTCTTTGGCACGAGTATCTTTGCCTCCATCATCATGTTAATCCCCACCCTCATGTTCACCGCAGTCGCTGCCATCTCGTTTATCGTGCTCACGAAGGTACGGCCCTCTCGGAGCTATTAAAGGCCTGGGTTTGCCTCATTGCCTGCGCAGTCGGCCTGTCTGCCTGCAGTTACAGCTGGTTTAGCTCACATGTCTATTGAAGACTGGGAGCCGGTTTGTTGTCTGGTGTCTGAAGTGTCATTAAATGTGATGCTGGAGCATGCCGTGCTTGTTAATTAGATGCAAGAGTAAATAAATCTTTTACTTTAGGATTTGTGCCTGAGACGCCATTCAGAAGCCAGTAATAACTGTTATAAATCGAACTACCAGTGTTAGTTTAGCATCGAGATATTACATATAAATCAGCCAATCTTATATATACAGTACCTGAAGTCCTGCTTACAGTAAGCGGGTCAACAAACTCTCTTAACTTCAGTTAACTGCATTTAAAATAAATGTAAAAATTCTAATACATTTCATTGTAAATAACATGCAGTTATGTGCCTGAAACATTCCGTTTGAACTTAATTATATTATTTTATTTCCATAATGAGTGGTCTATTTCAAAGAGCTCTAAAGCCTTTCACAAGGATTGTACATTGCTTGAACATTGCAGGTTCATAACTTCTACCGTGGCAGTGGCGGCAGCATGAGTAAAGCGCAGGAGGAGTGGGTGTCTGGCGCCTGGAAGAACCCTCAGGTCCAGCAGGCGGCTCTGGGTGCAGCGGCCGGAGCGGTGCAGGGCCCGCAGACGCCGCAGTACTCCACACAAAACTACGACAACACCATGTGAAACACAGCCAGAGCATCAGTCATCAACACACACACACACACAGGCCGAGCCACACACCCGCTGAGCCTGAAGTGAGGTGGAACGAACCGACTGATGCTTGGTTGCTCAGTTTTTAATTTAAATGTTTGTGTGTTTGTTCATGTTTTTGTATCTGTTTTAGCCTATTTGCTCCCTGCTTTCTGCTAACGTTCCCATTAAGTTATGAAAACATTATTTCAGAATATATTTCCTGAACATTCAACACGACCATTTTTTTAAAGGTTTGAAAAAAAAATGTTTTTTT